AGGCGCTCGCCTTCGACTGACGACACTGCCGGTGCGAGCGCGCGCAAGCTCCAGAGGGCTGTTCGCGCCACGCGCTGAGGGGCGAGTTGTTTGTCAGATTCCGCGACGGCGAAATCTGGTGCGATCATTGCGGCCAATCGCTCAACATTTCTGACTTCATTTGCAATCTTATTTTCAACTTCATTCTCATTTCTCATTGCATTCAATATTACTTGCTAAATTCACTTGCGTATCAATTTTCGTCTGCTATTCCGTATTTCTAACCAGTACTTGTTCGGAAGACATTAAAAATCTCCGCGATTAAAAATCTGCCCTGGAGGTAAACCCTCCATTGGGGCGTATCTTCTTATTTCGTTGTTTTCCGATTCGTTCTCCATTGTTTTGGCTCTTTCGGCCTTACTAATGTTTCATGATATTCTGTCTTGTGCTGCCCTATTTTGACACTGCTTTCCTCTTTTGTCGTATTCCGTCTCATTCCATTGTCTGCCATTTCTCTTTCCCATTTCACATCGTTCTGCCCTGTTCCATCTCATTCCATCATGGTTCGATTTATTCCATCTCCTTGTATCTTATTCCATTTTGATTCCGTAGCCGGCAGGTCGAGAGTGCTTTGCCAGTTGGTCGCGGTCGTTCCCAGTCATCACCGCCGCCATCTTACGTTAGGATTTGCGATTGTTAGACTGCGACTCGTGACTCGCGTCTGTCGTTGACGGCGTTTCGTTGTTCTTCGCTCGCCGGCAGGTGTTCTGCAGCATAGCGCCCTCTATCTACGGCCACGAGGACATGAAGCGCGGCCTTGCGTTCGCCATGTTTGGAGGCGAGGCGAAGAATCCAGGTAGAGACATGGTGGTGACGTGTGCAGGCGCAGACCGTGTGTGCGTGTCGTAGTTAGTAGTCGCTGGTGGTGTTCATTGTGATAGAATATCTCGCAGCATTTACGTACATAGACGTGTGTGTGTGCGTGTGTGTGCGTGCGTGCGTGCGTGTGTTTGGGGGTTTGTACTTGCGTGCCTGGGTGGGTGTGTACATGCATAGGCTGAGTGTGTGTGCGTGCGTGCATGTGTTTGGGAGTGTGTACGTGCGTGCGTGGGTGCGTGTTGGCGTCCGTGCACGATGGATGTGTGGTCCCTCGTGAAATGTGGTAACGACCTCTACATAACGACCTGGACAACCCCCCCCCCCCCCCGCCCGGGCTCAGGTGGCAAGCACAAGTGTTTCTATCTATTCATGTTTAATACTATACTACATCATGTACCACGCCCTCTATGTAACGACATCTACGTAACGACATCTACGTAACGACCTCTACGTAATATCCTCTACTTAATGACCTCTACGTAACGACCTCTATGTAACAACATCTACGTAACGACCTCTACGTAACGACCTCTACGTAACGACCTCTACGTAACGACCTCTATGTAACAACATCTACGTAACGACCTCTACGTAACGACCTCTACGTAACGACCTCTACGTAACGACCTCTACGTAACGACCTCTACATAACGACCTCTACGTAATGA